CCTCACGCGCCAGCACTGGGCCCGCGCGAGCGAGCGCACGCACGCACGCAGGCGGCGGAGGCCGCGCACAGCCCCACTACGTAGTGTTTGTTTTTCCTTTCTCTTCCCCTCCCTCTTTCGGCTCACCGAGCCCGAAACAACGCCACCGGGAAATGCTTCCTTTCCAGCCTCTCGGTTCCCCTACCGCGGGCGGGCGCGCGCAGAGATGAAGGAGTTCCCTTCCTCATCCCCCCGCCCCCTTTCATCACTGGGGCCAATCGCCGCTGGTAGCTTTACGGCGCAGTCGCACCGGAGTCCCAGACGGGCCAGCCTGGCGGCGGCTCAAGTGCCTCGTAGCACGGAAGCGTGTGCGCGCCTGTCTTGCCATACTCCAGCCGGGCTTCTGCGCAGTCGTCCAGGGTTCCCTTACCACGCGCCCCTCCCACCCTTTCACCACCGTACTCCTGTCTTTCAGTGGCCGGGGCGACCTAGCGCCCCCTCACTAGCCTCTCTCCCCTACTGTGTGTGCGTGCAGCAGATTCTTGAGTGTAACGAATGAAAAGTCGGAACGGAAACAGTTACAACATGAAGCGTACTGGCAGGATTTTCAGATTCGTACACAAAAGGGCTCTCCAGAACGGAGGAATACAGTAACCCTTGGCCTTCCGCTCAGCGCCTTAATTTCTACCCAGCAACAGACACTGTGAGTCCCCCTTTCGTGTCTCTTATTGGCCAACTTGAATCGTCTCCTGCGATTCTGATTGGTAATCCCTGATCGTCCGGATTTTTCCTATTGGTGAAATATTCGGTTTGCTTTTTTTTTTTCCGGGTTGATCCGCTGGGAAGGCGGGGTCATTTCTGCGGGATTATTTTTCCGAAGCTACTTCTGATTGGGCGGAGTGGCGCAATGCGCGCGACCCTTTAGATCCCAAACTGTTGGAAGGCCTGACCCTTTACTCTCCGTGCTGCAGTCGGTAAGCCGTAACCAAGGAGGACGCTTCCGGATTTGAGCATCTGCAGAAGGCGTGGAGTTGGCCGGGCATTTGTTGGGCTTGCAACAAGGATGCTTGTGTGGCCGCCTCAGTTTCGCCCGTGTGTTGAATGCACAGACCTCGTCCACCTCGGTTTCCTAGCTCAGAGCAAAGACCAACTAATGCTAGTTGAATACGGGCAAATAAGGAAAGGCCATTGACATCTTTGAGCAGTTATACCCGCCTACTTTTTTCTACTTCCAGGTCGGGGAAGGGAGAGGGAGGGTGTGTCCAAAAGAAAGGAGTAAGCAAATTCCGCCGGGGTTTGCCCGTTTGCCAAAATTATTTATACGGGGAGTCGCCTCACGTTGTAGTCGCCTTTTTTGTCAATCAATCCTTGGCTTTGGTATTCCCATATCGTCTTTTAACTAGTGTACTGCACTTCTGGAGTCTGAAAAATACTGCCGAGAGGAAATGCGGGGGCTATAGTATAAACAAGCAAAGCTCACCTCCCCGGGAGTGTGTGTGTTGGGGGTGTGGGGGGGAGGAGGCTGCCTGCAAAAAGGGTAACTTCCTGCTTTCTTAGTTGGCTACCAAAAATCCGTTATTTTGTTCCCAATCCCAAAGCTCCAGTGACTCTTAAACTTCCCAATTCTGCAAGAGCACTGGATGACAAAGAATTATGGAGAAGCGCCTGCAGGAGGCTCAGCTGTACAAGCAGGAAGGGAACCATCGCTACCGGGAAGGGAAGTACCGACATGCTGTGAGTAGGTACCATCGAGCTCTGCTTCAGCTGCGGGGTTTGGATCCAAGTCTGCCCTCCCCGATACCTAATCTAGGACCTCAGGGCCCGGCTCTCACCCCTGAACAGGAAAACATACTGCACACCACCCAGACAGACTGCTACAACAATCTAGCTGGTAAGAACAGGGATGAAGGGTGGGTAGAGAGCATGGAGGCAGGAACATGAACACCTGTGAACACTAGGAAAAATACGTTCTTTTCTGCTGTCATCCAGTTATTCTGCCATGAATTGAAATACATTTCCAAACTGTAGGGTACTAATTTCGTTTTTATGCATCAGGGCTTCTCAGGCATTACCTAGAGAGTAATGCCTGAGACCTACCCCCAGAGATTAGAATTTAATGGGGCCTGGTAACACAGGTTCTTTTTTATTTGGCCACAGAGCCTGTGTGCTTGAGAGAGAGACAGTGAGAGGGAAAAATGAGAAAACCCACCCCTTCATTTTCCTTTAGGGATTTTGGGGGTGTATGTACATATTCCTGGAGTGATTTTCTGGCCACCACTGCCATGAGTTGAACTATGCTTGGCCATATGGGAGTCCAGTGCCTTAACCACCATGCCACCTGCTTCTCCCCAATCTACATTTTTAAAAAAGAATTATTTCATTTTATTTGTTTTTTATTATTCTTCACTTTGATCAGAGAAAGAGAGTGAGCGTGAAAGCAAGCTGCCAGGTGTGGGACTTGAGCTGTGGTCAGCCATGTAGGATATAGTGCCTTAACCACTATGCCACCTGCTAGCCCTCCAATTTACACTTTTAAAGAATTATTTTATTTAACTTTTATTTTATTTATTTATTTACTTATTTATTTTAATTTGACCAGAGAGGACAGAGAGAGGGAGAGAAAGAAACTGAGAAAGCAACCCACCAGGTCCAGTACTCGAATCAGTCAGCCATGTGGGAGTCCAGCATCCCTAACCACTATGCCACTAGCCTCCTCAATTTATACTTCTAACAATAATACCACTTCAAGATGGTGTTTATAGTTTAGAGAATTTTGCACATTACCGAAAAAAACTAAATTGATAGTTAGGACATTGTTTAAGGAAAATTTAATATTTGGGAAAGAGCTGGTGTTATAGATATTTAATGGTTTGCATAGCTTTTTCTGTTTCTCTTTTCTATGAATCAGATAACTTGGGTAACTAGTATGTTTCATCACTGGCCTGGATGAAAAAAATGGATGCTATAGTTGGTATTGTTGGGATTAACCTGCTAAGAGAAGCACATCTCTTAGATCCATTCTATGGCAGGCACAATAGCCATAGAGCCAATTATTTTGTAGAATATTGAAATATTCTAGTAGTCTAAGTTGATGCCATAGAAGTCATTAGGAGTAGTTTTTACACCAAATGGTTATTTTAACAAAGTTACTTATCAATAGTTTATTGAAAACCCTGTTTTGGGGACCAGCAGATGGTGTAATGGTTACGTTGCTGAACTGCAGACAGAGTTCTGGACCTGGAGGCCTGAGACTCACCCCTGGCGCATGTGCATGTGTGTCCAAAATCCCAAGAGGAGAATAGAGGAGAAGAAATTGCAGCATGTCCATCCCCTTGGGGGGTAATTTTTCGCTTTCTGTCTCTTCCGAATACATGTGCCCTATAGCAAAAAATCTTTTTTTAAAAAAAGAAAAAACCTTAGGTTTTTTTGTTTGTTTTTTAAAGAATTATTTAACTTTATTATTATTATTTTCCAGTTTGACTAGAGAAAGAAAGTGAAAAAGCAAACCCCTAGGTCCAGGACTTGAACCATCGTCAGCCATGTGGGAGTCCAGCACCTTTTACCACCACGCCACCTGCTGCCTCTGAAAACATTGTTTGTATTTTTTAAAAAAAAAAACCTTGTTTTTTTATACTATGTGTCCAGTGCTACTCTTAGACTCAAATATCAAAAATAGAATTATAGGGGGACCAGCAGTTAGCGTAATGGCTATGTCGCTGGACTCCCACGTAGTCGACCGCGGTTCGTGTCCCAGACCCGGTGGCTTAGAACTCACGCCGGACGTGTGTGCGTGCGTGCCCAAGATCCCGAGAGGAGAATGGAGGAGAAGGGATTGCGGCGTGGCCATCCCCCCTAGGGGGTGATTTCTCGCTTTTTGTCTCTATGTCTCTCTCTGTCTGTCTGGCGAGTGCACACGCCCTATAGCGACAACCTCTCCAAAAAAAAAAAAAGAATAATAGGAGCTGTTGCAATGTAAAGCACTGAAAGTCAGGTCCTGCCTGCCCATATGGGGACTATGATTTGAATCCCACCCAGCTGGTCTGAAACATGCCAGGCATGTGGAGGAAGAGAATCACAGCGTGACAATGCTCTGTGGACAATGCCCCTCCATTCCTCCTCCTTTCTCATGTGCATGTGCACAGACTATATGGTGAATGATGAAAAATAATTTTAAGGGAACCAGCAGTTAGCGTAATGGCTATGTCGCTGGACTCCCACGTGGTCGACCGTGGTTCGCATCCCGGACCCGGTGGCTTAAAACTCATGCCGGGCGCGTGTGCGTGCGTGCCCAAGATCCCGAGAGGAGAATGGAGGAGAAGGGATTGCGGCGTGACCATCCCCCCTGGGGGGTGATTTCTCGCTTTCTGTCTCTATGTCTCTGTCTGTCTGGCGAGCGCACGCGCCCTACAGTGAAAATCTCTCCAAAAAAAAAAAAATAATAATAATAATAATTTTAAAAAGAATAGTCATTGTAGCAACAGGGTTTTTGTTTTTTTGCCATAGGCTACCTGTGCTCACCAGAGAAAAGCAAAGAGGTAAAATGAGAAATCACCCCCTGGGGGTATGTTTGACTGCAGAATGTTGTAAATTGTTAAAAAGTAGAATACCTATTATAAAGAGTTGAAACCAAAAAAATTAGGAAATGAGTTTTTCTTTTTTTAATTTTCTTTTTATTTACTTATTGGTATTTACATTTAATCACTAAATGTCTTTACAGCGTACAACATGGTTTTTCCTAGCATGGGTACAGCACATGTTAGTCAAGTCAGGGAAATGAGATCTTTTATGGTTGGGTACTTGGTGGTGCCTTGGCTTTCCAGGTGAATTTGGGGGCAGGGACTAGCTGCACAGCCTCTGGAGCTGCTTTGTAGATGCTTTGTAAAGATTCACTGAATTGGGACCAGCAGATGGTGTAATGGTTATGTTGCTGGACTCCCACATAGTCCACCACGGTTCAAGTGCCAGACCTAGTGGCTTAAAACTCACACTAGGCGTATATGCATTTGTGCCCAAAATTCCAAGAAGAGAATGGAGACGGGATTGAGGTGTAACCATCCCCGCAGAGGGTGATTTCTCACTTTCTGTCTCTCTGCCTCTCTGGCAAGCACACGTGACCTATAGCAAAAATCTCTCTTAAAAAAATTGTAATAATAAAATACTTATTTTAAAATAGTAAATAAAACTATCTAAAATATTAGTACTATATGTCAGTTGGCAGCTAATGACTAGTTAAATCAGATGCAGCCTCTGGTTATAGGAAACTAACTAGTATTGGTTTTATTAGACAGTGGGGGATGGGGAGGACACCAGCAGGTGGCGTGGTTAAGGCAGTGGACACTGCCACATGGCTATCCATGGTTCGAGTCCCAGATCTGGTGGCTTGCTTTCCAACTTTCCCTCTCTTTCTCTCTCTCTGTCTCTTTCTGGTCAAATTAAAATAAATGAATGAAGAGACAGCAGGTGGCATGGTGATTAAGGGCACTGGACTCCCACATGGCCCACTGCGGTTCAAGTCTCAGAACTAGTGGCTTGCTTTCTCTGTCTCTCTCTGGTCAAATTGGAAAATAATAATAATAAATAAAGGTAAATAAAATAATTCTTTAAGAAAGAGACAATGAGAGAGAGAGATACAGAAAGCAAGCCACCAGGTCCAGGATTTGAACCATAATCGACCATGTGAGAGTCCAGCATCTTAACCACCATACCACCTACTGACCCCTTAAAGTATGTTCTTAATGGTTTTAGAGCCAGGTCTAACCCAACACTAGCTACGTAGTAGGCAGTGGGTTGACAGTGAAGTCGACTGCAAGGGATGTTAAGCTTTCGTTCCCTGCTGCATCCCCCATTCCTAGATGGGTGTCTGGCACATGGGAGGCACGTCAGCATTTTCTGGATAAGTGAATGTTGTTGATATCACCTTATGTTTGGTACTACCTTCATCTGGCCAGTGGAGCCGAGAATACTAAGGCCCTCCTCCCTCTTCTCTTTTCATTTGGCCCATTAGCCTGTCTCCTTCAGATGGAGCCAGTGAACTACGAACGAGTGAGAGAATACAGTCAGAAAGTCCTGGAACGGCAGCCTGATAACGCCAAAGCCTTGTACCGAGCTGGAGTAGCCTTTTTCCATCTGCAAGACTATGACCGGGCTCGGCATTACCTCCTAGCTGCCATCGATAGGCAGCCAAAAGGTGAGCAAGAAGGAGATCCAAGTGGTGAGGACAAATAAAATGGTCCTGCTAATGTGGTATATATTTTATTTTATTTTGTCATTGTATTGATTTTTTAAATAATATTATCAGGGCCCAGCAGTTGGTGTAATGGTTATGTCGCTGGACTCCCATGTGGTCGACTATGATTCTATTCCTGGACCTGGTGGCTTAAACTCACGCTGGGTGCATGTGCTTGCGTGCCCAAGATCCCAAGAGGAGAATGGAGAAGGGATTGCAGTGTGACCATCCCCCTGGGGGGGTGACTTCTCACTTTCTGTCTCTCTGTCTCTTTCTGGCAAGCACATGCGCCCTATAGCAAAAACCTCTCAAAAAAATATATATATATTGTCATAAAAAGTATAAAAAGATACACGAGGGACCTGCAGATGGCATGATGGTTATGTCGCTGGAGTCCCATGTAGGCAACTTAGTTTGAATCCTAGACCCGGTGGCTTCAAACTCACTCCAGGCACGTGCTACATGCCCACCCGAGATCCCGAGAAGGATAGAGAAGAGGTTGTGGTGTGGCCACCCCACGGGATGATTTCCCACTTTCTGTCTCTCTCTGGTGCATGCCATGCGCCTTATAGCCAAAAAAAAATTTAAAAAGGTAAGACAAGCCTTCTTTTACTCTTGTATTCTTATCTCCCCAGGAAAGCAGTATTATTAGGTTTGTGTATATCCTCAGGAAGTGTTTATGCTTACACAGGCATATGTGAGGGGACTTGAGAAAGTTCCTGGGAAAAGAGGGACCATGTACTACTTAGCAGTAAAATGCAACACTTGCAAGGCTAATCCACACAGGAACAGTTCTGGGTTTGCATCCAGAGACCTCCCTGAGTACACAGGGCACCTGTATGCCCATAATCTGGGGCTGACTGAAATTGGGGATGGGTCAGGGCTTAAAGACCCTGTTTGGGGTGCTGTCTGTCTCTGACATTTGTAAAAGAAAAACTTTTTTTTTTGGTTAAAATTTTTTTCATTTATTAACTTTATTCATTTGTTTATTTCACTTTGACCAGAGAGGGTCAGACAGAGGGAGAGAGGGAGAGAGTGAGGGGGCAGGCCACCGGGTCCGGGACTCGAGCTGTGGTCAGCCATGTGGGAATCCGGCACCTTTAGCCACCATGCCACCTGCCATCCTCCAGAAAAACTTTTTTTTTTTTTGCCATAGAGGGTGTGCATTCTATAAGAGAGAGAGAAAGAAATCACTTCCTAGGAGATGGCCATGCTGCAATCCTTTCTCCTCCATTCTCCTCTTGAGGCTTTGGATACATAAGCACATACACCTGGCATGTCTCTCAAGCCACCGGATCTGGGACCAAGTCACGTAGTCAGCCATGTGGAATCGAGCCACCCCAACTACCATGCCACTGACCGACCCTGAAATAAACTTTTATAAAAGAAATCACTTCCTAGGAGATGGCCATGCTGCAATCCTTTCTCCTCCATTCTCCTCTTGAGGCTTTGGATACATAAGCACATACACCTGGCATGTCTCTCAAGCCACCGGATCTGGGACCAAGTCACGTAGTCAGCCATGTGGAATCGAGCCACCCCAACTACCATGCCACTGACCGACCCTGAAATAAACTTTTATAAAAATGGAATTAAAGCGCCAGCAGGTGGTGTAATGGTTAAGGCACCACACTCCCACATGGCTGACCTCAGTTCAAGTCTCAGACCTGGTGGCTTGCTTTCTCACTTTACCTCCCTCTGTCTCTGTCTGATAAGTATGTGTGCCCTATAGCAAATTAAAAAAATAATAATGATGATGGGGGCCAGCAGGTGGCGTAGTGGTTAAGGGTGCTGGATTCCCACATGGCCCACCGCAGTTCGAGTCCCAGGCCTGTTGGCTTGCTTTCTCACTTTCCCTCTCTCTCACACTCTGCCCCTCTCTGATCAAATTTAAAAATATAAATAAATAAATATTAAAATTCTTTAAAAAAAAAAAAAAAGGAAGAAAGAAAGAAAAAGGGCAGGCCTGCTGAGAGAGAATTTGAGATCTGGTACTTTGTTTCCAAGTCAAAGAGGATATGGTGGAGAAGATGACAGTCTTACTCCTATATTGGCTGGTTAAGTGCTAAAAGTTGTTTCCCTTTTTGTATTCTGGCTTAAAGCAGCTACTGGTCGCTAGAAGCAAGAGTCCCCAAACATGCAGTAAAATCTCACTAAATAAGTGAGAATGCCACTATCAAATAATAAAAATGTAAAATATGAGCCATTTGTTCGTGCTTCTTACCTCCAAGCACATGGGTTTATTGCCACCTATGTGAATGCTATCTTTGGAGACTCTACTGCAATGATAATTAACTGTCTCACCAAACTCCCTTTTCATATAAAATTAGCAACCAGTTTATCTCAGTACAGAGAGTTTTTAAAAATTCAGGGGCTGGGTGGAAAAGTTCGAGCTGGACGTTTTAGCGGGCGCTGCTACACTGATGGCAGGGATTTTGCACTTAGTAGTTAAGAGGTCTCCCGGCAAATTACAGACTGTGACAAAAGGTGTGGAGTCTCTCATTTGTACAGACCAGATTCATCACAAATTTACTAGGTCAAGAATACCGGATAAAGTATTTCAACCTTCAACTGCCGATCATGAAAAATATGGTGGGGATCCACAGCACCCTAATAAATTGCATATTGCTACCCGAATAAAACGTACAAGACGGCGTCCATACTGGGAAAAAGATAGAATAAAGATGCTTGGGTTAGAAAAAGCACATACCCCTCAAGTCCATAAAAAGATCCCTTCAGTGAATGCAAAACTAAAAGTAGTCAAACATTTGATAAGAATTCAGCCCCTGGGACCAGCAGTTAGCGTAATGGCTATGTCGCTGGACTCCCATGTAGTTGACCATGGTTTGTGTCCCGGACCCAGTGCCTTAAAACTCACTCCGGGCACGTGTGCGTGCATGCCCAAGATCCTCAGAGGAGAATGGAGGAGAAGGGATTGCGGTGTGGCCATCCCCCGGGGGGTGATTTCTTGCTTTCTGTCTCTCTGTCTAGAGAGCGCATAGCAAAAACCTCTCAAAAAAAAAAAAATAAATAAATAAATAAAAAGAATTCAGCCCCTGAAGGTGCCCCAAGGACTTCCCACAGAGGAGGACCTGTCTAAGAGGTGCCTCAAGAGCACAGGGGAGTTGGTAATACAGTGATGTCTGAAGTCTGTGGAACCCGAAGTGATGAAGTCCTGATGCCAGAGCAGCTTCAGGTTAGAAAATGCAAATCTTTATTTAAAGATGGTGAGAAAGTGTTTCACTAAAATATGTTATAAATACAAAAAAAAAAAAAAATCAGGGTGGCAGGTGGTGTGGTGATTAGGGATCCTGGACTCCCACAAGCCCACGGTTCAAGTCCCAGACCAGGCAGCTTGCTTTCTCTCCCTTTCTCTCTGTCTCTCTCTGGTCAAAATTGAAGAATATTGGGCCGGCAGGTGGTGTGGTGATTGGAAGTGCTGGACTCCCACATGACCAACTGTGGTTTAGGTCCTGGACCTGGTGGTTTGCTTTCTCACTCCCTACCCCCGTCTCTCTCCGATCAAACTGGAAAATAGTAATAATAATGATAAGTAAAGTTAAATAAAGTAAGTTTTTTTTCATTGAAGGATAGGGCCAACAGGTAGCATGGTGGTTAACGCACTGGACAGTCCTATGTGGTCGACCGTGGTTCAAGTCCTGGACCTGATGGCTTGCTTTTTTACTTTCCCTCTCTCTTTCTCTCTCTGGTCAAATTAAAATAAATGAAGGAATAAATAAAATTAAATATAAATGGTTCTTTTTTAAAAAATTGAAGAATAATGGGGTCAGCAGGTGGCGTGGTGGTTGAGGCACTGAACTCCCACATGTTGACTGTGGTTTTGGGTCCCAGACCTGGTGGCTTGCTTTCTCATTTTCCTTTTCTCTGTCTGTCTTTCTCTGGTCAAAATTGAAGAATAAATAAAAATTGAATAATAAAAATAAAAATAAATCTTTTTAAAAATTGAAGAATAATGATAAAATATAAATCTTTTTTTGGGGGGGAGGGAGAGGTTTTTGCTATAGGGTGTGTGTGCTTGCCACACAGACAGAGAGAGACAGAGAAAGAGAAAGCGAGAAATCACCCCACAGGGGGATGGCCACGCCGTAATCCCATCTCCTCCGTTCTCCTCTCGGGATCTTGGGCACACATGCACACGCACCCGGCGTGAGTTTAAGCCACTGGGTCTAGGACTTGAACTGCAGTTGACCACGTGGGTACTTATTTATTTTAATTTAACTACAGAGGGACAGAGTGAGAGAGAGAGGGGAAAGTGAGAATCCAAGCCGCCAGGTCTAGGAGTTGAACCACGGTCAGCCATATGGGAGTCTAGCACCCTTAACCACCAAACCAACTGCCAGCGCCCCCCCACACACACACACTTAACTTTTTTAAAGAATTATTTATTTATTTAATTATATTTGTTACTATTTTTAATTTGACCAGAGAGAGGCAGAGAGAGAGAAAGTAAGAAAGCAAGCTGCCAGGTCTGGGACTTGAACCACAGTAAAAGTCCAGTGCCCTTAACTGCTATGCCACATGCTGACCCAAAGTTATTTTATTTAACTTTATTTATTTAAATTTTTTTAAAATTCAAATGAGTGGGGCCACCAGGTAGTATAGTGGTTGAGGCACTGAACTTCCACATGGTCAACTGCGGTTCAAGTCCTGGGCCTGGGGGCTTGCTTTCTTACTTTTTCTCTCTCTCACTCTCGTGAGTGTGCATGCCCTATAGCAAATTAACAACTAATAAATAAATAGATATTTTTTTAAAAACTCAAATGGAGGCCAGCCCATGGCTTAATGGTTAAGGCAGCTGGAGACCCCCCCACATGGCTTATTGTATAGTTTGAGTCCCACACCCAGTGGCTGGAAAAACATGTCAGGTATGTGTGTATATGTTCAAAAATCTGAAAGGAGTTTAAAATGGAGGAGAGGGGATTGCAGCATGACTATTTCCCATTGGGACAGGGGGAAGTGCTTTCTCATTTTTCGCCCTCTCTCTGTCTCTTGTCCAGTGAGCACACATGCTGTTTGGCAAATTAAAACAAAAAGTTCAGGGTGGTATTAATGATATGTACTATTGCATAGAATAATTGTGATATATTCAGATCTTGGAGAGAGCAAAATATGAGTATGTTACTAATCCTCTCCTGCCCCAAAGTGTGATTACGGTCTAAGTACCTCTAACTACCTTCTATGTTGTCTTCCAAGATGCCAACGTCCGGAGGTACCTCCAGCTGACTCAGTCGGAACTCAGCAGCTACCATAGGAAAGAGAAGCAGCTCTATCTGGGCATGTTTGGCTAACAAAAAAGAAAGATGCTCCTCTGCTCGAATTTAGGTGGACTATGAAAGACCCATCACGGGGAAACCTGAGCCTTGGCACGAGAAACGAACCCTATACCTCTGACCCAGGTGGATTTCTGTTTTGTTTCCAGTTCTGTACAAATTATTTGCTACCTACTTTTTTTTTTTTGTCTATCCATCTGTATATCTGTATAGCTTTTGATACATGTTATTGGGGATTTGTGCCTGGAGAAATACACTCAGAAAACATTCATTAGCTAAGAGCGGAATTAATCATCTCTAGCACAGAACTGAATGAATGATGTTGTTAGATGCACATCACAGAACAGAGGGTGAACCGAGAACGGAGCAGTGAGGATAGGCAGAAAAAACTTCCTTCTTTTGTTTTCTCAAATACCCAAAGCACAAGCTGTATTTTTTTTGTGAAACCTGACAATTATAAATGGGCCTACGTGTCCTAAAATGAAGGATTTGAAATTAGCCGTTTTGCATTAAATTAATTCCTTATTCTCCTTACTATTCCACATACAGTCAGATTATTTTTTTCCCCCAACAAAATATGTGTTTTCTATTTTTTCTTGTAATTTCTAGTCCTTGGTGTTGCTCATACTCAGGTCGTTAGTATAGTACACTTATTCATATGTTTTTCATTAAACTACTATATCTTAAAATCTCTGGAGGGACCAGCAGTTGGCATAACGGCTATGTCACTGGACTCCCATGTAGTCGACTGCGGTTCGAGTCCCGGACCCAGTTGCTTAAACTCACGCCGGGCACTTGTGCGTGCATACCGAAGATCCCAAGAGGAAAATGGAGAAGGGATGTGGCCATCCCCCCTGGGAGGTGACTTCTTGCTTTTTGTCTCTCTTTCTCTCTGTCTTTCTGGCGAGTGCATGCGCCCTATAGCAAAAACCTCTCCAAAAAAAAAAATCTCTGACATTGGGGCCAGCAGGTGTCATGGTGGTTAAGGGCACTGGACTCCCACATGGCTGACCATAGTTCCAGTCCCATACCTGGAGGCTTGCTTTCTCACTTTCTCTCTCTCTCTCTCTGGAAATACTTAATAATAATAAATAAAGTTAAAATAATTCTTAAAAACTAATCTTTGGAATCATGGATCTAAGTATTTATTTAATAATCCTTCAGCCCTCATGCCAAAGCACCCAAACAATAAACATTTTAATTTAATTTAATTTATTATTATTATTATTATTATTTTAGATTTTTGCCATAGAGTGTGTGTGCTTGCTGCAGAGAGAAAGAAAGATGGAAAGTGAGAAATTATCCCCCTCCCCCAGCAGGGATGGCTCAGATCTTCAGAGGAAGGGCTATTCCTGCTTACTGCTTTTTAGGTACCCCAGGGAGGACCAGCTGGTGGCATGGTGGTTAAGGCTCTGGACTCTCACATGGTGGCCGACTGTGGTTCAAATCCAGGAATTGGTGGCTTGCTTTCTCACTTTCCCTTTCTCTCTGGTCTAATTTAAAATAAATAAATAAATACAAATTAAAAACAAATTATTCTTAAAGGAAAAATAATAAAATAGTGCCCCAGGGAGTCCTCTGGAAGCTGCACTGGGCATGGATGCAGTCGCAGGTCTGGTGCGGTCCTGGCTCAGTAGGAGACTGCATGTATCACGGAGCCCCTTTTTCCTTCTGTTTTCCCATGGTGGATGATGTACACAGTAGATGAGAGTACTACATCGTTGAGACAATATAGCTCTGCCTCTGCTTTTATGGAAGTAATAAGCTACTGTCATTAGCCATCATATAACAGAACAAACAGATTTCAGAAGGAAAAAACACTTAACTCCTGGGCCAGCAGGTGGCATGGAGGTTAAGGCGGCTAGATCCCACATGGCCAGTGGGATAGTTCTTGTTCTGGACCTAGTGATTTGAAAAACGTTCTGGCCCATGCTGGCACCCAAAATCTAGAGAATGGAGTTGGGATTGTGGTGTGGCCATCCCCTCTAGGGGATGGTTTATCACTCTCCCTCTATCTCTTTCTCTCTGTCTCTCTGGCACATGCACATGCCCTATAACAATCTAATATAAGTAAGTAAATAAAGTAAAACAAAATTTTGTTTAAACCTTAATTCTTTGTCACTAACTAACACTCCTTCTCCCAAAGAGCTAGACTCCTCTTTGTTCTTCCTTTAAATAATACAACTAACAGAAAACTTCTCTGGGGCTGCATCAGTAAAATGTTTCACCATGAGCAGACACACATGGGAGGGGGCCCTCTGGATTCACAACCAAAACCCTCCCTGAGTGCTGCAGGACTGGCTGAGGTTGGGGGTAGCTCACATCAAGACTGTTGAGGGTACATGCATGTGCACTGTCTATTTTACACACACACACGTATTGTTCTCTCATAGGAGAAATAAACTTAAAATTTTTTTGACCAGATAATCTTAGGAAGCCCAAGGACACAGAACTAATAAAAGAACATTCTTCTTCCAAGCTGTTTAAAATTGCTAAGCTTAGATTTGTTGAAAAAATGTTGTCATGGTTGCATGTCTTATATGCTTTGGGCTGGTTTTGCCTTCTGATTTTTCTTTTTTTATTTCAAAAATTTGATGTTCCTGTAAGCTATCTCCTGCGTCAATGAGGAAAAAATAAAACTGGTATTTAAAAGTACACATTAGAAATTTCTTGTACTTGGGACTAGCAGATGGTGTAATGGTTACGTTGCTGGATTCCCACATGGCCAACTGCAGTTCAAGTCCTGGACCCAATGGCTTCAAACTCATGCTGGGTACGGGTGCGTGCATGCCCAAAATCCTAAGAGAAGGGCTGGCAGGTGGCATGGTGGTTAGGGCAATGGCATCCCATATGGCTAACCACAGTTTGAATTCTGGACCTAGCAGCTTGCTTTCTCACTTTTCACTCTCTTTCTTTCTCTCACTCAGTCCCTCTCTGGACAAATTAAAATAAATAAATAAATAAAGTTAAAATAAATGTTTAAAAATAAATAATTAATTAAATTGAATTTTTTAAAGAAAAAGAAATAGGGGCCAGCAGATGGCATGGTGGTTGGGGGCACTAGACTCCACATGGTCAGCTGTGATTCAAGTCCCAGATCTGGTGGCCTGCTTTCTTACTTTCCCTGTCTCTCTCTCTCTCGCTCACTCTGTTCCTCTCTGGTCAGATTTAAATAAATAAATAAATAAATAAATAAATAAAAGTCAAATAAAATAATTCTTTTTAAAAAGAAGAAATTTATTGGGAACCAGCAGTTAGCGTAATGGCTATGTCGCTGGACTCCCACGTAGTCCAGGTTCGTGTCCCGGACCCGGCGGCTTAAAACTCACGCCGGGTGCGTGTGCGTGCGTGCCCAAGATCCCGAGAGGAGAATGGAGGAGAAGGGATTGCGGCGTGACCATTCCCCCTGGGGGGTGATTTCTCGCTTTCTCTCTCTATGTCTCTGTCTGTCTGGCGAACGCACGCGCCCTATAGCGAAAACCTCTCCAAAAAAAATTTTTTTTTATTGCATTAATTCTTTTTTTTTTTCTTTTAGAGAGGTTTTGCCATAGGGTGCATGCACTTGCCTGAGAGACAAAAAGTGAGAAATCACCCCCCGGGGGGAATACCATGTCACAGTCCCTTCTCCTCCATTCTCCTCTTGAGATTTTGGGCACATGGACCAACAATTGGCGTAATGGCTATGTCGCTGGACTCCCGTGTAGTCAACCATGGTTTGAGTCCCAGACCCGGTGGCTTAAATACACGCCTGGCGCATGTTCATGTGTGTCCAAGATCTTGGGAGGAGAATGGAGGAGAAGAAGTTGGAGTGTGGTCATCCCCCTGGAGAGTGATTTCTTACTTTCTGTCTGTCTCTCTCTGTCTTTCTGGCGAGTATATGTGCCCTATAGCAAAAACCTCTCAAAAAATGAATAAAAAAGAGATTTTTGAGTACACACGCACATGTGCCCAGTGTGAGTTTTAAGCTGTTGGTTCAGGACTCAAACTGCAGTCGAATATGTGGGAGTCCAGCAACATAACCATTATGCCATCTGCACTAATCCTTTTAATAGTGCTGCTGAGGTAACCCCATAGTCAGGCTTGAATTTCAGTTTCATAGGGGCCAGCAGGTGGCATAGTACTTAAGGCACTAGACTCTCACGTGACCAATTGTGGTTCAAGTCCTAGACCCAGTGGCTTGAAAATCATGCCAGGAGCATGTGCTTGCATGCCCAAAATCTCTAGAGGAGGCTGGAGAAGGGATTGCAATGTGACCGTTTCCCCTGGAGGGGGTGACTTCTCACTTTCCCCCTCTCTCTGTCTCTCTCAGGTGAACTCACACACTCTAGTCAAAAACAACAACGAAAAATTCAGTTTTATAGTTTTGGTAAGTTTTGTACATTTAGTAGATTAAGTATATTGTTGCTTTTTTTTTTTTTTAATTTTGCTGTAGGTTGCATGTACTAGCTAGAGAGAGACAGATAAAAGAGAGAGAAGGAAAGTGAGAAAGCACTTCCCATGGGGATAGCCACACGGTAATTCTTTCTCCATTCTCCTCTCTGGATTTTGTGCATGTATACAGATAAAGCCAGTATGTCTTTCAAGAGTCTTGTTCCAGAACTCAAATTGCAGTCAGCCATGTGGGATCCAGCTGCATTGCCCATGCCACCAGCTAATCTGTAATTGCATTTACTATTATTTTGTAAAGAAATATTTTACTTTATTTATTTATTCATTTTAATTTGACCATAGAGGGACAGAGTGAGAGAGAAAGAGAGAAAATTGAGAAAGCAAACCCCCAGGTCAAGGCCTCTAACCATGGTCTGCCGTGTGGGAGTTCCACGCTTTTTTATTTTTTTTATTTATTTTTTTTTTTGAGAAGGTTTTTTTTTTTTTTTTTTTCTATAGGGCATGTGCGCTTGCCAGAAAGACAGAGAGACAGAAAGCGAGAAATCACCCCCCAGGGGGTATGGCCATGCCACAATCCATTCTCCTCCATTCTCCTCTTGGGATCTTGGGCACGTACACACACGCGCCCGGCGCGTATAGAAAAAGCGAGGATCGGGTGGGCCCATCTCCTCTGGTGGAGAAAGCCATGACCAGGAACCAGGGAATGTAAAACCAGTTGTTTTAGGATGTAAATTGTCTGAAGATGCTAAAATGATGTAATTTCTCTGATCTTTTTTGGGGCGAAATCTGATAAACATATGTGGCTTCCTTTAGCCTTATACTGTCCTGCAATATCGGTTATTGGTATCGACACAACAGGCAGGTAACGTTTTTGTATGCAAATATTCTCATAGCCATTGCTAATGAAGTTCACAGAACTGCTTCTGCTTGTGTCTAAAGGTCACTGTGTTTTCTCAGATTGGCCTCTCTCCACAAAAGTAGATTACAGGGTATCTGGACTCATTGGAGGATGATTTCTCTCTGTCTCTTCTACAACCTCATATGCATGTGTGCATCCTCTGTCGTGTGTGTGTGTGTGTGTGTGTGTGTGTGTGTTTAGGTTTTTGCCATAGGGCATGTGCACTCACTGGGGACAGAGAGAAAGTGAGAAATCACACCCCATGGGAGATGGCTACAATGCCA